TGTCTATTCAAGATCTTTGACTTCTCTACGTGCCTTTTAGAATCATTTTGTTGATAGCCACAGAATAACTTGCTGGGGTTTGACTGGGATTGGATGGAGTCCCTGGATCAAGTTGGGCACCACCGGCATTGTGACAATATCAAGTCTTATATCCACAAGCATGGAAAATCTCTCCCTGTATTTAGTTCTTTAATTTCATCCATAATACTTTTAGAGTTTTCCACAGGTAGAGCTAATACATATTTGTTGGATTTATACTTATTTAACTTGGGAGGGGGGTGCTACTGTAAGTGATATTGTGTTTTTTAAATGTGAAATTTCACTTGTTTGTTGTTGGTATGTAGGAAAGAGGTTGACTTTTGTATATTAATCTTGATGAGCTTTTTCCCTTTTGCTGCTTTGAAAATTCTGTCTTTAACTTTAGACTGCTTTGTTATAGTGTGTGTTGGAGAAGATCTCTTTCGGTTGAATCTGTTTGGGAACCTATAGACTTCATTAACTTGGATGTCTATCTCTCTCCCTAGATTTGGTAGGTTCTCAGACATATTTCTTTATTTTTTATTTATATTTTAAAAAAGATTTTATCTATTTATTTTTAGACAGAGGGGATGGGAAGAAGAGAGAGGGAAAGAAACCAATATGTGGTTGCTTCTTGTGCGCCCCCTACTGGGGGCCTGGCCTGCAATGCAGGCACGTGCCCTGACTGGGAATTGAACTGGCAATGGCAACCCTTTGGTTCTCAGGACAGCGCTCAATACAATAAGCAACACCATCCAGGCCCTCAGCCATATTTCTTTAAATAAGCTTTCTGCCCTTTCTCCTTGTTTTCTCCTGGGATTTCCATAACTCATAAATTATTTCATTTGATGATATCCCATAATTCATGTAGGCTTCTGTCACTCTTTTTCATCATTTTTTTCTTTGCTCTCCTCTGAATGGATAATTTCAAATGACCTGTCTTTGAATTCAGAAATTCTTTTTCTGGACTTGTTTAAGTCTCCTGTTTATGCTCTCTATTGAATTTGAATTTCATTCATTATGTTTTTTTAGCTCCAGAATTCTGCTTAGTTGTTTTTTTTTAATGATTTCTGTCTCTTTGTCAAGCTCCTCATTTTGTTTGTGTATTATTTTCCTGACTTTATTGATTTGTCTTTCTGTGTTTCCTTATAGCTCACCGAGCTTCCTTAAAACAGTTGTTTTGAATTATTTTTCAGGAAGCTGTAGATCTCTCCATAATGCTGGGGTCAGTTACATGAAAATTATTGTGTTTCTTTGGTATGATATCGTATTTTCTTCATTTTTTTCTGTTGTTCCCCGAGGTCTTGCATTGAGTTCAATGTCCACATTCGAAGAAGCAGTTCCCTCCACCAGTCTTTACATCTGCCTTTGGAAAAAAATACCTTTACCCGCCAGTCCTGCTGGGACTCAGAGGCTTTCTCAGACCTTTTCTGTGGAAACATCTGCTTCACATTTCTTGTTTCCTCTCGGGTGGGGGAGGTTCTTAAGAGGAAGGCTCTTGAGATCCTTTGCCCTCCCTTGATTGGCTGGGCGATCACAGCTCCCCATTTGCTTTCCCTAGGGCGGTGCTGAAGGCTCCAGTCTGTGTGCTTTCTTCCAAAACCGCGCAGTTAGGCCGGCTTTCCATGTGTGCTCACGACTCGCCTGCACAGACCTGCACTCACCGCCTGCGGCAGGGGTGCGTGTGCTGCATATGGCGTTGGGCCTTGCTTTAAAAAAATTATGTATTGATTTTTTTGAGAGGGGGAGAGAGAGAGAGAAAGAAACATCAATGTGAGAGCAAAATATTGATCGGTTGCTTCTTGTTTGCACCCTGACAGGGACGGAACCCACAACCCAGGCATGTGCCCTGACTGGGAGTCGAAGCAGTGACTTGTTAGCTTGGCAAGATGATGCCCAAACTAACTGAGCCACACCAGTCAGGGTGGGTTTGCTTTTTGATCCACTCTGACAATCTGTCTCTTTTAATTGGTGAGTTCAGACCATTGACATTCAAAGCAATTATTGAATATTGGATTAATATCTGCCATATTTGTTACTGTTTTCTATTTGTTGTTTTTGCTTTTTGTTCCTACAATATTTTTTAAAAGATTTAAAATTTATTTTTACAGAGGGAAAGAGAAGGAGAAAGAGAAAGAGAGGGAGGTAAACATCAACGTGGTTGCCTCCTGTGCGCCCCCCACTGGGGATGTGGCCTGCAACCCAGGCATGTGCCCTGACTGGGAAGCGACCCTTTGGTTTGTAGGCCCACACTCAATCCACTGAGCCACACCAGGTAAGGCTGTTCCTACAGTGTTTTTGTCTTCTCTTCTTCTGCCTTTTGAGGTTTCAATGCAGCATATTATGATTCCATTTTCTCCCCTTTTTTAGTGTATTAATTATACTTTTTAAATACCTTTTTTAGTGGTGGCCCTATGTTTGCAATGTCCACTTATAATTAATATAAGTCCACCTTCAAATAACACTATACCACTTCATGAGTAGTGTGAGTACCCAATAATAACAAAAGAATCCTCATTTCTTGTTCCTGTTCTTTGTATCATTTCCGTCATTCAGTTCACTTTTATATATCACACATAAACATATATACATTATGTACATAAGATATATACAAAAGCACACATAATCAAACCCATTGTATTGTTATGGACAAACTGTTATTTGTTAGATCAATTAAGAATAAGAAAAAGAAGAATTTTTATTTTATCTTCGCTTATTCCTTCTTTGATGATCTTTTTTTTTAATGTAGATCCAAGTTTCTGACCTATATCATTCATTGCCCTTCTCTCTAAAAAACTTCTTTTAACATTTCTTGCAAGACAGTTGTATTGGCAAAAGCGAATTCCTTCGATTTTTGTTTGCCTGAGAAAGTTGTTGCTTCTCTTTCACTTTGGAAGGAGAATTGTGCAGGGTACAGAATTCTAGGAGGTTTTTCCTCTCAGGACTTAAGTATTTCACACCACTGGCTTCTTGCTTGCATGGTGTTTGAGGAGAAAGAGGATGTAATTCTCATCTTTGTTCTTCTATAGGTGACCTGTTTTTCTTCTGGTTTCTCTCAGGATTTTTTTCTTACCTTTACTTTCTTGTAGTTTGTTTGATTTGTTATTCGCTAGGTGTCATCTCTTTGGTGTTTATCCTGCGTAGTGTTCTCTGAGCTTCTTGCATTTGTGGTTTGGTGCCCAGCATTAATTTGCTGAAATTCTTAGCTATTATTGTATCAAATATTTTGTTGTTCCTTGGTCTATTCCCTCTGTTTCTTGTGTTCCAATTATGCTTATATGTCCCCTTTTGTAGTTGTCCCATAATCCTTGAAAATTCTGGCTTTTTATTTTCAGTCTTTGTTCTTTACTCTTCAGTTTTGGGATTCATGATCTGCCAGAGGGAGAAATTTACATTCTAGTGGAGGGTGATAAGCAATAAACAAAATAAATACAATAGGGTAAGTCAACAGGTGGTAAGCGTTATGGAGAACAACAGAGCAGAGAAGGGGAAGGATTGTGAAATTGTGCGTGTGTGTAAGGGGAGGTTGTCATTATGAACAGTTATAAACAGGATTGTCAGATAAAGAGGTTGCTGAGAAAGTGATCTTGAAGGAGGGGATGGAGCAAGCCTTGTGGCTAGCCTGGAAAGGATGTTCCAGGTAGAGGGGACAGCCGAGCAAAGGCCCTGTGGTGGCAGTATGCTTGGTGCGTTGGAAAACTGACTGGTGGCCAACGTGTCTGAAGGCGGGTGAGGGAGGTAGGGTAATAAGATAGGAGATCAGATGGGGTAGAGGAGTCTGGGAGGGTGGCTGGAAAGGGGTGGCATTAGGTGAGCTCACACGGGCATGTTTAAGGCACAGTGAGAACAGTGACCATAGAGCAGGCCATCCTCAGGGGAGAGAGGGGGGAGGTGAAAGCAAAGACAGGCGGGGGCCTGGGAATGTATGGCTTTGCAGACTCTGCCAAGGACTTTGGGTTTTATTCAAAATGTCATGGTAAGCCTTTGACAGGCTTTGATGGTGGAGTGACATAATCAGACTGACAGTCTGACAGAATTCCTCTGGCCACTGTGTTGAGAAGAGCCCGAAAGGGTGGAAATAGGGAGCCTGATCTGCAGGCCGCTGCAGTTCGAGAGTGATGGCATGGCCCGGAGCTGGGACAGCAGAGGGCCGAGAGATGCGGATTCCAGATCTGTTTGGAAGGCAGAGCCCATGGGAACCACCGACGGGCCATTCATTGCAGCTCAGTTTGTTACAGCAAAAGTTGGGAAGCAACCTGAACGCTCAGCTGTGGGAGACTAATAATTACTGTGTACAACAAGACATGATGCAGGCTTACAAAAGAACGAGGAAGCTGTCTTTGTATTGGTACAGAATGATTTGCAAGGTATGAGGATGAAATGAGACAAGCCAAGTGCAGAGCAGTGTACACGGTAGTTACTGTTTGTGTGGGGTGAAATAGAACAAAGCAAAACAAACACACACACAGACACCATCCTTGGATACGAGTATCCTGTTCTATTTTCTTTCCTTTGGTCTTTGTTCTCTCTGCTTTTTAGTTCCCAAATTTATGTTCTATTGGAGGGCGGTGGACCATCAACAGCATAAATAGGTTAAGTATATTGTTTCAGAGGTGATAAGTGTCGCGGAGAACAATGAAGCAGAGAAGGGATGGACGGTGAGAGTGGAGTGTGTGGCCCCTGTAGGCACAGTGAGATATCTTTATGAGACAGAGAGATAGTAAGGCCAGGAATCCCCAGGTACCACTGACACGAGAGCCGGAAGACCGAATGGGGGCTTCGGTCCATCAGCACCCCATGGGGCGGGTTGCTACTCCTTGTACATTGGGGTGACAAGCCAATGATATTTTCATATTCTCTCTTTCAGGTGAAGAGGAACAGCCAGAGGTGCCCCTCCAAGTCCCTCAGTTCAGCTTCCCCTGCAGATTTGCACACCTCTGCCTTTCTGTGCCCTCCAGAAAATAAGACAAATTCCACCAAGCTTATTTTCTCCATACCTTTTTATTGAACTCTGCAGACCTCGTTAAGGGACCATTTGCTTAGAAATTCTTAAACATTTGGACGTATTTTACAAGACAGGACAGCAGCTGGAGGTCACAATTTCATCTCATCACATGCATAAAGACACTGGATTTTTTGTTTAGTTTTCTTGTGTGTGTGTGTGTGTGTGTGTCTGTGTAATGCTTGTTTTCACCTTTACAGGTAGGACTGGAGACGTCAACTGACCAGAGATGAACAGGACCCAAGAACACAACCCCGAGAAAAGAGCAGCTAAGGACATTGGTCATTTATGGCTAATGTGATTGGCTTGGCCCCCATCATGGGCGGGGCGATCAGAATGGCTTTGCTGGCAGAAGAACCTCAACCTCACACCCTGGTTCCTTGGAGTGACAGAGGGTCTGAGCTAACAGGATCGGGCACATGCTACCATGGGGGCATTCGAAGAGGAAGACTGTTGGCTCTAAAAGCTGGAGGGCAGGCTGGGCCTCTTTTTCAGCTGGACTCCCATGGCTCAGGGAAGGTGATCCAGTTTCTAGATGTCATCTCCCGTGTTCCTGCCCCCAGCAAATCCCAGACCATGGAAAACCCTTACTTTGAACCCTTGGCTTTGCTCATTGGAAAACCACTCTGTGATCTCTGCATGGGCTACATGTGAGCTACACTGGAACATGAGGCTGGAAACGCAGAGTGGAAGAGTAGGAAGGAGGCTGGGAATGCCCCATAGGTCCCCTGGAAGTGTAGTTCTGAGAAGGCCATGGCCCTTAGGGCAGACAAGTGTCAAATTTGGTCATCACCTTGGCCCCTGATGGAGTGAAAGGACAGATGGCATTGGTGGGGCTACTACAGGCTTTAATCGGAAGGGCCCCCCATTTCTCCTTCCTTCCCAGTTAGCAATACCTCAAGCCAGGTGAGAACTAATAAACTCCTCTATTCCCTCACACATTCACTCATCAATCGCTCACTCAGAAATCAATCATTTACACATTCATTCAAAAACACAGGTTGGGTGACCACTATGTGCCAAGGACATACATTGGGGGATAACCCTGAGTTCCTTGTGCAGATAATGGTGTTCCCAGACCTTGACCTTGGGTTAAAACCAGGATAGTTCTGGAGAAAAAAGGGCCAGTTGCCGCCCCAGCAGCTGCTGACCTTTTTCTTCCCTATCTACCAGACACATCGAGTTCAGAGGTCAAGGTTATCTAGGAGAGAGCCCAAAGCCCTAGTGAAGACCAGGGTCCATGAGCCAAGTCATGGAGAAATCCAACTCTCGTGGGCATCTTCTCCTGTGCTTCCCTCCTTGTTTTCCAAACCTGGATTAGCTCAGGGAGGAAAGTAGGATGGGGTGGTCCATGCAGGACCCTTGAGAGCATCCTAACGACACAGAATTGGGAGTTAATTCATTTTTCAGGACTGTCATACCATTGCAGCCACTAACTTGAGCTATTTCTGCAGGAAAGAGCCTCAAAGGGGAAAGCCTGGAAACTGGCAGCTGCTCAGTCTCTCTGTTCACACATATCCTGCCTTACCTTGTGATAAAGTAGCTGGAGACTGCCTCCTCCAACCCAGCATATACAAACTAAGGGGGACTGTAAAACCTCTTTGTCACATGCTCCCCTTGAAGAATGCAGTACCCAGACCTGGGAAGGGGGCTACAGAGGTGGGAGAAGGTATTCGGCCTGGCGGTGGCCGAAGCCTTATTTTGCTTTGGAACTGGATTACGGCTGCCTCTCTCTTTTGTCCCTTCTGGATTTAACTTCCTTGGGTGGGGACTTTCAAAGGATTTGAATGGGATTTCCTGTTTTATTTGCCAGGGGGGGAAAAAAGCCCTTTTGGAATGGTGCCATTTGCTATTGCCTGGGCAGTTTGTTCATTTGCTATTGCCTGGGCAGTAGCTGGTTGGTTAGTGGGTAAAAGATAATTGTCTTTTGTACAGAAATCCACAGGTCTATGAGGGCACAGGGGCTGGGCAGAGGGGCTGAAGCACCGAGAGACAGCCAGCCAGCCAGAGATGGGGCTGCTTTGTGGGTGGCCTTGGGGGAGGGTAGCATGAGTGTCATCCCACCCCACGGGGTTCCTGTTAGGACACTGAGACTAGGTTGGATGGGTGATCGACAGGGTCACTGACATTGTCCAGGATATGGGACAGGAGCAAACAGGGTGTCCTGCACCACAGTCTCAACCTAGAACCCTCTTTGAAAGCTGCAAATCCTAACATTTGAGTTCCTGCTAATGGCCCTCCCTGCCTTTGCCTCAGTGACTTGAGTCTACGCCCAGATGTTCAAACCACACACACACACACACACACACACACACACACACGCACGCGCGCCAGGAAACAGAGGGGGAGAGAGAATTTCCCAGGTTGTTCAGTCCCGTTGCTATGCAACGAGAGGGTCCCTGTGCAATCTCCACTCTGTACACCGTCTAGCCTCTCTTTAAACACCTGTGATGTCAGGGAGACCGTTACCCAGCTCGGCAACGAGTTCCATGGTGAGGCAGCCCTACCTATTAAAAGTGCTTTCTTCATGTGAGCTGAAGCTGACCGCCCTGTTCTTCTCAGGCAAGAGAAACTTTCAGAGATCCGCCTGCAGCCCTCTGGCAGGTGGGTGATTTCTTCCTCAGGGGAGCTGCCCACTCCATCTCTGATCTTTTTGGGATCTTTGCAGGGAGGAGTGGAAAAGTTAGAGGTGAAGTTGAGGTGCCGCTCCATTAACAGAGACCCTTCTAAATCCATTTCTTCAAGTTGGAATTCGGGGAGTTTCCGAAAGATTCCAGGTTAAGACAGTTATCAGGGACAGTGGATGGGTACCCAAACTATACAACCTCTTTCTAGCTGCAGACAGCCACAGGCGAGGGTGTTTGTTTATCTGGGCTCCAAACTCAGCAAGCTACTGGGAAATACAATTTATTTTTAATGTTCTTGTGCAGAAGTTTTAACAAATCTGGTCTATTTTGTTTGGCTCTGGTTCAAATCAGATTACCAAGAATATGGGGGCTGGAAAAACTTTGATTAGGGTCTTAGTCCAGAATAATAGATTGGTACTCAGATTAGTTCCTCTTGGGGATGTTTCAGTAGGGTGGGGCAGGGAGTGGTTCGCTGCCCTCTAGGAGTCCTGATTTGGCTCTGAGCTCTGATTCGGGGCAGAGGCCAGAGCCCTAAAGTGGAGAGTGAGGCGGGTGGGATATGAAAATTGAAATGAATGCAAGTTGGAGATTATCTGAGCTTTCTTCATCTTCCTGCATGAGCTGATGGAAGGAAAAATTGCTTTTTGCTGAAGATCGTGTTTCGTGAGGTGTTCTCTGCCCACCCACGGCGGGGGGGGGGGGGGGAAACTACCTGGTGGAATTACAATCAGGACAGACCAGAAACTCCCTGAGGCCTAGAAGGGCGTGGGCAGCCCCTGCCGCAGAGACCAGATCTCTGGCTCTATGAAGCCAGCAGCTGCAAAAGGAAAGAGAGATGAGATGGCAGATTCTGGGGACATGTCTTCACAGGGTCTGGCTGCAAGCCTGTCTGGCCACTGTCTGTTGGTGAGGCTGCTGGCAAAGAACTGGAATGAAGAACTGATAAAAAGCTGATGAGATCTGAAGCCCAGCCTGTTCTCAAGAACCAAACATGTTCCGTCCTTCAGATTCAGTTGCTGACACAGGGAGCAGGGCGCTGGACATGGCAACAGGCCAGCCAGGAGGGGCGTGGGTGTGTTCTGGAGCACAGAAACGCCCAGCGGGAAGTTAGCCTGCATGGGATTTTTGGGTCTGAAATTTGGGGGGGAGGAGAAAACTCAGTCCCCTCAGGTTCCCAAACGTGTGTAGGAACGAGCCAAACCAAGCCCACATCCCGTCCTGATTTTGAGGGTCACCTGCTCTCGATCCTGCATGTGTGTCCTGGATTCTTCAGAACGATGACGAGAAACACAGAGACAGAATGAAGAAGCTGACCATATCAATAGTCTCTAGGCCTCGTGGCAGGAAATGTCTGCCGAGGAAGTCAAACCCTGGCATCTTTCTGCGCTCGCAGAAAATCAGAATCATTAGGAAGCGAAGAAAGAAAAAAAAGCAGCCCACGGGACAATGGACGTAAAAGACCAGAAGACATCAGCTACGATAATGACCGACAACAAACCTCCTAAGGTGTTATTCTATATTACAAAAGAAATTCGACTCAGTGGCCCTATTATAAATTTGCTAAAAATACATTTTATATTTATCTGAACAGAAAAATAGACTACTCTGAGATATGTGGACAACCTATATGATGTAGTCACACATCAGATACTTCTAGAGCCAGAAAAATGGCAATGGAAACTGCAGAGGTAACTCTGATTTGTGGGGGTCGCTGGGGCTGGCTTGGGTCCCTTTAGAGCATCTGGATGCTGTCCTATAAGCAGTGAGAGGTCAGCAAGTTCAGCTCAGGGCTGGAGGCTCTCCTCTGTCTCGCGGGGGGTTGGGCTGAGCCTCCTTCTTCCCTCCTATCAGCTTCGCAGCCACAGAAAAAGTCCTTTCCCAAAGAATCTCAGAGGCAGCTCACCGTGCTCTCGTTTGATTCAAAGTTCCTTGTTTGGAGGCTGAAGCCTGGGACTAGCTGGCAGAGATACAAGGAAAGGAGGGAGCCAGAGACCTGGCTGTAATGAGCCTTGTCCGTGGTGGATTTTAAATTTGCCCTTTCCCGTGGATTTGACACTCCAGCCGTGACTTGGAGGAAACAGAAATATACAACAGTTTACAAAAGTCAACACTACATTACAACTTTACAGAGGAGAATCTTGCTGTGTTTTTTTTTTTCCCACCTTAGAAAGGTGGGACTTATTAGGAGAAAGGGCAGAAACGAGGCTACGGTGACTAAGACACGGTGGAAGAGAGGTTGGGACTCAGTCTGACAAAGTTTGCATGGCCAGCAATTCTCAGGGGCAAGCCGGGCGGGTTGAGAGGAAATGGCCTCCTCGGGGTTTTGCTGTTTCCACGTCTAATGCTTCCTTCTTGATCCCCAGTGCTTTTAGAGAAAGGGGTTTCACGGAAACAAAGGTTCTCTCCTCTTTTTTCTTCCCCCATTCAGTGTGCTTAAGATAAAATTCCTAAAGAAGGCACCGAGAAATCTACTGCACCGACATCCTGTTGCTGTTTTTTCTTTCCCCAGACAGAACAAGGCGAACCGAAGGACTTCTCCAGAGCTTGCTGCCTCTGTCCGCGGCTCGCAGACTCTCCCCGCTCTGTGTGGTTGGGACACATAGCTACCTGGTCCCTAGCCCTTTCTGATAATGGTGGAAGCTGGGGGGACTCAAGTTCAGCTGGGCTCTGGACAAGTTTCACAGAGTTCGCCTCCAGCCCCTAGTTTTGTTTCTTTGGGTTGACTTGTCTTTTTCCTCCCGCTTTTATTGGTTCAGAAATGGGTGGGACATGGACCACCAAGGTAAAGCAATACCTGCTTCCAAACCATGACTTTCCCCTCCTCCATCAAGATTTGTTGGTCAAGGTTAGCTTCTCATGGAGACTCCTAGGTAGATTTCCTAGTGCATGTACACGGGTACAGGTAGGATGTACACATATTAAAAACCTCAGTGTGTTCCTTTTTGGCAGGTGAGGGCCTGGATACACTCCCAGCGCTCTATTTTAATCGGGCACAGGGTAAGAGCTATGTTCCCACAAGACATACACAAGTAAAAGAAAAAAACCCAAACAGAACACAATACTTTCTAAGCATAGTATATGCTGAGTTTCAATTATTCTGTTTCTATAAGAACTCTATAGGACTCTGGCTATTCAGCCTGAAAAGGTAGGTTCTTCATGATACTTCTGAATTCGTCCTTCAAAAGTGACTCGATAAAATGCTACTTTAAGGTCAGACAAAATGCATGAGGAAGGAAGGGCCGGGCCCTGCGTGACCACACAAGGCAGAAAGGGCCTTTGGTTACGAGGAGAGTTGCACCAATTGGTTATTAGTTTTAAAAAAAAGAGAGAGAATTTCCAATCTGTACACTTCTCATCTGGTTCAACCAACGAATGAAACGCCTTGATTTGAAGAAGGGGTGGTAAGTTCCTTCTCAGTATATATGGCTATATTTAAACATGTTCACTTTCCTGATATGTAAAATAGACTATATTATTAATTTTTACAGATAGCATCAGCTCTAAAAATATCTGAATCAGAAATCACAACTATTTACTTTTATTAAAAAGCATTTGTTTTCCCTGAATTTTCCCGTTTGTGCTGATGGCAGACACTGATGAAAATGAAGAAGAGATGCCCCCCCACCCCCGCCAAGCCCCCAGGGGCACTGCCACTGCCTCTCTCTGGTGTGTCACTAGCACAGCATGACCTCATTCTCTCTCTGTCCCTTAAGTCCCTTTGCATTTGCCGTCAAGTCCTCTGAAGGGACTTTGGAAGAGTCAAGATACTTCACATGCCTTGTCTTTGCTAACACAGCACAGAGCAGGACTGTCCCCTCTTGGAGGGATCTGTTGTCCTGGGAGATGCCAAGAAGCAGTGTGAGCCAGGTGTGCATTCAGCAGAGGACACACATTTTTAGGGGCGAGGAATGACCGCACGTCATCACACCTGTGACGGGCAGCCAGCCTTGTGGCGCTGTACGGAGGGCAGGCAGAACAACTCTGTGACACTGGTGTACGGAACAGGTGGATCACGCCACTGTACTAACAGGTGGACCGATAACATTGTATGAAGGACAGCGGAACAACACCATGTCTTGTCTCATCAGGAAGACACATACCTGTCACAGCTGAGGACGGACAGATATATACTGCTGTACTTGGGACACCATCTCCTAAAACTGTGTTAGGAGAACAGCATCAGTCCATGGTACTACAAACAGGCAGATCAATAACGTATTATCTTTACTGACAGATGGGCCATCGGCTTGGCATCATGCTAACCAGTGGCTCAACCCAATGTCAATGAACTGAGGAACAGCCAGCAACACCACAGGGTCAGACTGAACTCAAGCAGACCAGCGCCAGTGCACCACACTAGGACAGCAACACCAAGACCAGAAGATGTGCTACAACCGCTCACGATGCGCACAGATACTTATTGCTTTTGTCTGTACTGGCTGCATTGATGGCTGCAGGAAGGAGAGCTGAGCTTATTAATATAGACGGTGACACCGAAAACACACCGACAGCTGGTTGACAAGAGAGAGAACAGAGTACAGTACCCAATGCCCAACTGCCTACTGTCTTCTTTTGAGATGTGCCTGTCCTGTACACGTGACTTTATGAGAGGCCCTCCACATGGGCCACGTACTCTTCCTTGCAAGGGGACTTAGGGGATGCTTCGGAGGGGCAGGGAAGGCGCCTGCAGGCTTTGACCTGGCAGACGACAATACCAGCACAGTGTCACCCACTGTGGCTGGACACAGGCATGTGTTGTAGCATCCACCCAACCAGAGTCCCAGGAAGCAGCCCGCGGGAAATAGTGCTTCTTTTAAAGTGCAAGATGGTGACACTGTCCCTGGTAGAACCTATTTTTGAAAAACATAAAGTGCTTTTTATTTTAACTTTTTTAAAAACTTGAATACCACAGGAAACAGAAAGAGGATTTCTATTATAGTAGATGCTCTCCCTGCCACAGCAGGAAGTATTCGAAAGTCTGCACGGGGCATTTCAAATGGGGATTTTTTTTCCCTTTCATTTTTGTAGGTAAAAAAAAAAGTCAGATCTTATTCTGTTCTTCGGGAACATACAGTCTTTTTGAATAAGCTATTTCTTTTGCATATTTGACACTTGCATATTTTTTGAGTCTACACCAGTGATGTACAGAAAATGTATTCCCTCAACAACCCTAAAGCAATGCTCAGCATTCACACCGTTGGCTGAATGCCCGCCTTCTGAACCCTTCCCAGATTGCCAGGGGGCAATTAGAATTGAGTACAAGTGGTACAACTCACCCCGATGATATCTCAAAATAAAACCTCAGGGACTACGAAACGGGGAAGTCAATGAAGCCGTCTGAGTAAGGGTTTTGCACTGGGATCGAGGCTTACAGTGCAGAGATTTCTCCATGACACAAGCACTCCCTGTGGCCTTCTAACCGTGGGGTCCACCCAGGAGGTGATGGACAGGAGCTCCCAGAGGTGGCCAGGCAACGCCCAGAGCAAATTGGTCAACCCACTTTTTCCAATACTAGCCACGTGTTCCAATATCCTTCTCCAGCTGAAGCCAGGAGGGACGGGAGATGTTGCCTTCTGCAGCTGTGATGGAGAGCCATGAGAGAAGGACAGGGAGCAGGTGGCCTTGGTTACGTCTACAGTGTGGTAGTGGTGGCTGTGAGTTCTGCTCATGTCACCTCCCAGAGAGGGCAGTGGAGTTGTTACAGGGAGGCGCCAGGTCCTACAGCTTGGCTAGCTGCATTCCGGTGGACCTACCATGGCTCTCAAGGTCTTGGGGAGCTTTCTCCAGAGTTTTTCTTCTTTCTGGGGGCTTTGCAGAGCCTTTCTGTTTCAGAGTTCATGCAGAAAGGCTCTGTGGCAGGTAAGCTGAGCAGCACGCCTCTACGGGCCTTGCCACAAGTCTGTCCTCCATGTGGGCTGGTTCAGATGGTCGGATCCCGTGTGCTTCCGTGGGCCCCTCCCCCCGGCAACACCCGGACCTCGGGGGAGATATGGTTCTCAAGTCTGCACTTCTCCTGACCACTGGGGGCTTTTCCAGTCAATGTTTCTGTAGAGTAAATACAGTTCTGCCTTAAGAACTTAGGGGAGGTGGATAAGGGGGAACTTTCAAAGTGGTTCTTTTCTGATCTTGTCCCGACACCGAACTTGGGACTGGTGCTCCCATGGAGGCTTTTGGGAGGGCTGGAGTCCACACTGTATAGTACCTGTCCCTCATCATCTGTGTCTGCATCAATGTACTGGTGGACACCTGCTTCAAAGTTGAATGCTATTGCTGTGGGTTTCTCGGGCGACCGGGGGGGTGTCCTAACACTTGCTGTGGTATAGATGGAGGACTCTGGACTCAGCACAGATGTGTCCAAGAGTGTGGCACACTCCAGTCCAGCCACAGCGGCGGCAGCACCCCCCCGGTTCCTGAGGGGGTCATGGTACATCCCCAGAACGGGGAGTAATGGACTGGGTTCACCCTCCAAGAAGTTGACTTTAAGTGCTCGGAGCTTCAAGGGGTTGTTGGTCTTCATGGAACTCTTGGGGCTCTCGATGAGGAAAGAAGAGTGGTGACTGGCATCAGGGGTGGGGTTGGCCTCAACAAACCTACCACCACTGGCGCCCAGAGCTCCCCGCCAGCCCAGCTCTGGGGCCGTGCTGCCCCCAGTCTTGCTGGGGAGCGATGCCAAAGGGCTGTGGGAGAATCTGGTGGCTTCAGGGAAGTCTGTGGCACAACTAATGAAGCTATCGATGCTCGACATGCTTCTCATGTCTATGACCCCTTCCGTACGAGTGGGCAGAGGGGCTATGGGGCTGGGGATACTCTCCATTTCAAGTTCTTCCTTTGGTTTGCTCTGTGTGGCTAATTCCTTGGTATTGAGAATGGGCTGACTCTGGGCCTTGGCCATCTTATTGTACATGTCTTCCAACTGCTGGACGTTCAGATGCTGAGGACTAGAAGATGACCTGGCCTTTTCAGGGGAACCCTGCTCCTTGGTTTCAAAGGACTTACTTGAGCTGGTTTCGGAGAGTGTCCTCTTTGTCCACTTCCATTTGTTGGGAGACAAGTGGTTGTCCTGTACTTTGTCCTTCTTACCCATATTCTCTCCATTTTTCTCAACCACGATGTCCATCATCTCGATGCTCCGGGCAAAAGCATCTTTCATGTTCATGGACACGATGCTGCCATTCCTCTTGGCTCTCTCCAGAGCCTCTCTCCGCTTGATCGCTTTCTCCTGCCTCTTCTGCTCCTTGTAGAACTCAGAGAAGTTGTTGACAATGATGGGGATGGGAAGAGCAATCACCAGGACCCCCGCAATGCAGCAGAGCCCCCCCACAATTTTCCCCAGGAGAGTCTTGGGGTAGATGTCTCCATACCCAACAGTGGTCATGGTAATAGTAGCCCACCAGAAAGAGGCAGGGATGCTTTTAAACTTGGTGTCCTCTTCATCCTTCTCCGCAAAGAAGACAAGGCTGGAGAAGATCATGATGCCCATGGCGAGGAAAAGGATGAGCAAGCCCAACTCGTTGTAGCTCCGCCGCAGGGTGAAGCCCAAGGACTGGAGGCCAGTGGAGTGGCGTGCAAGCTTAAGGATGCGGAGGATGCGCATGATGCGGAAGATCTGGACCACACGGCGCACGTTCTGGAACTGCAGCACGCTCTTGTTGGATTCGGTGAGGAAGATGGTGACATAGTACGGCAGGATGGCCAGCAAGTCAATGGCATTGAGTGGGCCCTTGAAGAACTTCCACTTCTTGGGCGAGGAGAGGAACCGCAGCAGGTACTCCATGGTGAACCACGCAATGCACACGGCCTCCACATGGGCCAGCTGGGGGTTGTCCGTGGTCTGGCCAAACTCATCAAGGCTCTGTAGCTCGGGCAGTGTGTTGAGTGACAGGGCAATGGTGGAGAGGACGATGAACATTATGGAAATTATGGCAAGGATCTGTGAGGAGAAGAGAGTGACATTAGTTATCAACCAGCAATGGGGTGGTCACCCTAATACCCTGAGTCTGCAGGAGGCTCCTCAGCATTCGGGAACATTTCCCATCACACTATTCACTTAATGGCTGGGCGGCTGAGCTAAAAAGATGATTTAAATACAAACCCATTTATTGTACAGACGTGGAAACTGGCTCAGAGAACTGAAGTCATTGGAAGCTAATCATGGAACACAGGGGTTGGTGAATTTTTTCTATGGAGGGCCAGATAGTAAATATGCTAGACTTTAAAGTCCATGAATTCTTTGTTGCAACTACTCAGCTCTGCCATTGCAGTGTGGAAGCAGCCTTAGATAGCACACAAACGAATGTGTGTAGATGTGTTTCAGTAAAACTACTGACAAAAAGAGGCAGCTCCCTGACTCGTGAACTAGACCCGCGGTGCATCACAACCGCAGGGTGGGAGCTGCTTTCACGCCGTGAGACTGATGACGGTAACAATAGTTACCTCCCACTGAGCGTTCATGGTATGCCAGGCACCATGTTTAGCATTTTTCATGAGACACCTTATTTCATTCTTGCAAAACCCTCAGTATTCTATCTATAGCGTATTGTGTTCCATCTCCAATGAGCAAGGAAGGAAAATAGGGTTCCGAAGCTGGGAAGTGGCGGAATTGGGGTTTTCACCTCGGCCAGTCTGATCCCCGAGCGCGAGCTCTTTACACTGTGTTAGAAATCAGGTAAAAGTTATAGACCCTTTTCCACACACATATGACTTGGCGGGCGATTCCCCGGAAAGGCACGGGCATCATGGACCCATGTTATTAACTTCCAGTAGGGACCATGGACCTTTGGAGGCTCAACTACCTTTGAGTCCCCTGGGTCAAGAACAGGGTTTCACCCAGAGAAAGGGCTTACTGGATGTTTGCTGAGGTTAATGGAGCCTATGTCATTTGGCAGCTTATTCAGAAATGCCAGCGGATGTAATAAAATTGCTCTGAGGGTTTTTTTCAAAACTATAAATCCAATCACATCCTCACATTATTCCCCTGCTTTCAGGTCAAAATCCAAGTTCCTAAAATGGTCTGTCAGCTGCCCCCGACCCCATCTGCCACCCTATTCTCAGATCTGTCCCCTCCCCTGTAGTCCCTGCTATAGGGCTGCTCCGTCACCGAGCTTGCGCAGTTTGATCCTAACTGCTACTGACTGGCCCAGGGGCTTCAACCAGCTTGACGTCAAACCCAAGCTCCAAGCAAGTGTGTCCCATGTTGCAGGGAACAGAGAAGCCATAAAGAAATTACAGAGTGCTGACCCTGTGAGAGAAGCCAGAGAACACAGGGAAGGGACAGAGTGAAGGAGCGGCAAGGACCCAGGAGGTTTGACAGAGGATGAAGAGGGCAGCCGTTAAGAGCGTGGGCTCTGGTGTCAGACCACTTTGGGTCCAAGTCACAGCTCTGCTACTTCCTTACTTTGAGCCAGTTATTTAGCTCCTCAAAGCCTCAGTTTCCTCATCTGCAAAATGGGATAATAACAGTATCTACGTCAGAGAGCTGCAGTGAAGATTAAATGTGTCAACACACCCAGAGCACTTAGGACAGCTTCTAGCAGAACACAGCGAGGGGCTGACAAGTGCCCGCTGTTGTCCTGGGGGAATATCTCAGCCCACGCCACCCCACTGCCCAGACCGCCCAGCCTCCGGGTGGCCTGGCGAGTCTCTGCTTCCTGCTCTTGTTCGGAAACTGCCCGCTGAATCCTGCATTTGAACACCGTTGCTGTCTGGGAGAGTGTAAGGGGCTTCTATTCCCTGCAGTGAATCCCCACTCAGGACTCCTGGCTGTCAGGTCCCTCTGCATTTGACTCCTCCCACCCCTCTCTTTGGCCTCACCTTCTGCAGGTTCCCAAACTTTATAGTTTTCTAGCTACTCACAACTGCCGGTCAATTCCGCACGCCTGTGCTCTTCCTGTCTGTCCAGTGAACTGTAGGCCATCCTTAAAAACCAAGCCCATGTCCCCCTGTCCCTTCCTCCCTGACACCATCCCCAGGTGGGTCTGGCCACTCCATCCTTGGGGCTCCCCTATTATTTTGCTGTACCTTGGGGTACATATCACACACGTCGCATCACAGGGTAACGTGCGTGTCCATCACTGCCCAGCACCTGTGAGCTCTGTGAGGGGGTGGGGTGGGCAAGGATCAGTTCTTAGACTTATCTCTGCGCCCAGGCCTGGGCATAACACAGGCAGGCACTCCCGGTGTTTGCTGGCTGCTGCTCAAGTTCACCGAGCTACAAGTGCAAGGGTCAGGACCAGCATTCAGTTGTCAGTGTTACAACTACTTATTGATCATTTACTAGGTGTGAGGCACCGGGAACCACAGGCAGCAAGAGGGCCCCGGCGTCTCTCTAGGCCAGCTCAGAACAGGACAGGGAGCGCCTCGCGGTGCAGAGCCTTCCCGATCTCAGTTGCTTTACCAACATCTTGATTTTTTTGCTATAATGGGGTCTTAAAAAAAAAGCTTGAGTTTTACTTTCTCGATTGACACTCATTGAACAAGAAAAATACTGCAATCACTTTATAAACTATCTGATACGCACAAAAGTAGATCCAATTTGCAGACGTTTATGAACCATAATCGAACGACATCTGTGAAGCCGCCCCCCAAGCTAAGAAACAGAACCCGTCACAGTAACGTGAGACTTCCTGTGTCCTTCTCCACCCCTGAGATCATCAGAATTTCCTCTCATCTCTCTGCTTTTGTGCAGAGTGTTTAATACAAATGTACACAGGCCCTGACAAATGGTTTCATTTGGCTCAGTTTTGACATCATATTGCACATGTTCTTTTGCTACCTGTACTACTCTTTCCTGAACAGGAAAAAACAAAACCAAACCCAAAATGAACAAACAAAATCCACTCGCCTTCATTGTTTTCCTTTAGCCTCATCCTAAGCAATAAATCACTGCTTTTGCATGCTAGGGCTGTATGTATTAAATATTCATGAAAATAAATCCGCGGTCATTGGAATAGAACACCTTGGCAGTACACGCTGGGAACGGCTGCATCGAGGTAGGAGCGTGGATCCTGGACCTGGGAGCCAGCACTGCCGTTTACTGGTTGGGTGGCCTCAGTTTCCTTGTTTGCAAAATGAGGGCTACACCAGCAGTTCTTCTGGCAAATTCTGCAGAAATTTTTGGTTGCCACAACTTGGGGGAAGGACACCTTGGTGGGTGGAGGCCAGGGATGTTATTAAAATGTTTTATAATACACAGGGCAGCCCCACAGTGAAGGGTCCAGCCCCAAATGTCAACCGTACCAAGGTTGGGAAACCCCAGGCTATACCGATAGTGAGCCCCTCATAGGCTGGGGTGGGGGGAGGTTGTGCATGTAGCTACTAGCTTAGGGCCAGCTAGGCCCAGAGTGGGTCCAAGCTTACTGGGCAGCCAGCCAGGGCCTTGGGCTGAGCCCCAAGGTTGCTGCTGTAGCCTCTGACTCCAGCCAGGAGGGAGCCTGCAGGAGAAGGAGTAGGTCCCTGGGGAGCCTGTTCCTTTAAGAGCTGGGAGATCCCATTTCCTTGAGGCTGGTGGGGAAGCCAGCTCCAGTTTCTAACCCCTGACAACTCTGGGGGCGGCCTACACAATTGATGTCTCGGACAGACCCATGAATTATGCACCCAGCTATTGAACGGTCCTCAGGGTTGTTATTCTAAGGCGGGCACCCCCTTTGTGCCCTCCCCTTTCCCTCCTCTCAGCCTAGGAAAGAAGAAAATGGGGGGGGGGCAGCGCAGAGGCCCTGCTGGGTCCTGGGTGCCTGCTGCTCAGGGATAGGTTGGAAGGGTCACAGGGCGCCAAGTGCCCTTCCTGGTGTGTAAGCCCACGGAAGTGCCACATAGAATGTGCAGTCACACAGCCTGAGAGGCTTCCCTGACTGACCCCTCCTGGCCCCACCCTCAAGATCGTTCTCTCTTCAGGACCCACTAGAGTCAGGGCCGCACTTCTTGGCTGGGGAACTTCCTAATGTGAGTTAAACCCTGTGTGCTTGTTTCCACATCTGCAAGGCAGGGATGTCGGTCATGGCAGGGGTGCAATAAGAATTCAATGAGTTCATGGGCTCTTAGATCAGCTTTTGCGACTCCACAGGCTTACACTTATTTATAAGCTGAGTCACGACACTATTATTCCAAGGCTGTGTGGCCTTGGGTGAGTCACTTCCCCTCTCTGAGCCTCCAGGTCCTTATCTCTGAAATGAAGATGCGAATAATTGAGCACTTACCACATAACAGTCACTTAATATATGTTATGTTATTAAATTAGTATTTGGGTAATTTATTGTCACCCCTACCCTGAACCCCAGACAGGTTGCTTTTGGAGGTCCAGGATTAGGTCTGAAGGGCCCAAGGCCTGGCTATAGCCACGGACATCCTACAAACAGCTTCAAACCCAAATGAATGAACAGTGTTGACTTGGTCTCTGAGATGGGTCTCGGCAGTGGAGGCCCAGCCAGCACCCCGAGTCCTCTCGGCCCCAGCTCAGGCCCCTGACTAGGCCTTTGCATTTCTGGCTTTGCTTTCCCAGGATGTGAGCCCAGTCGGGTGTGGGCAGGACTCCAGGGACCCGGGGAGCAGAGGCGGGAGCCAGGACTAGGGACTTGGGAGTTATCCCCAAATTCCCTCCCTGTGAGGAGGCTCTGGATTCTGGAGCCCATTGTCTGTGCCAAATGGGTGAGTGGGCTTTGGTGCTCTGGGAGAACAGATCTGAGAGAGGCCGGGTGCTCCTCATCCTGTCAGCTCTGGGGGCTGATCGCAGGGACAGCCACCTCCGGCTTCAGCACTCAGTGCAGACTATCCTCACGTCCTCTGCACAGTTCCCTGCGCTGCCGGGAATGTGGACGAGGCGCAGAATGTCCACGCAGAAAAGAGCCCAGCCTCATCTCGGCGAGGTGGGAGGGCTCACGAAGAGAAGGGCAGGGACTGGTTCATGGTCACACAGCCCTCTGGGGTCAAGTCTGCACA